GTCTAACATTAAATGCGTCACATGAATGGAGCTCACAAGTCAGAGAATGCTAACTCTTAAGTGCTCCTGTTACTTTAGGTGACGCCCATCTGTCAGCCAGTGGACAAACAGTTTGCTCTGGAGGGGGCTGTTCCTGTGACCCCATTGGCTAGCTTCTTCCCCTGCAAGTTGTGTGGCAAGTAAGTAGCACCAGTCACAAGAAAGGAAGCTTGCAACAAACTTTTTTCTGTGTTTGGCATCAGGGCAAACAAACAGATGGTTTTCATTGTCAAGCATTCTTTTAAATTTGTCGTTCCCTCCCCTCCTTGTTTGCTCCAGAATGTTCTACAAAATCAAGTCCCGTAACGCTCACATGAAGATCCATCGCCAGCCTCAGGAGGACTGGACCGACAGGCGGCTGCAGCACCAGCTCCTCACCCAGCGTCTGGCCCTCAGTCGTCCCACCAACCTCATGCCCACCCCAGCTAGTAATCTGCTCCCAGCCCAAGCTCCGGCTCCAGCATTTACCTCCTCTGATTTTGCCGGAACGAGCAGCAACAGTATTGTAGACAGCGTCCACAATTCTGTGACCAATAACAACCCTGGCGTTCCCAGCAACGCTAGCGTCCTAGATCCCAGCACGGTTGTATCTTATAGCAGCATTGCTCCTCCAGACTCTCATGGGATCGCCAGTATTGATGGCAGTGACTCAAATCAAAGGGAGCCCACCACTGTCTTACCCTTCCATCAGTCATGGGGCTCCTTCGGACATCCTCCAAACCAAAGTGCCTTCTACTGCAACACAGGGGGTAAGGAGGATGTTGGAGCTGAGACAGTGGGGGGGAAACAGACAACTAACTGGCAGTAGTGGTCAACTATCCCACAAGCATTACCACCACTAAAGTCTGAAACGTATTCAAACTTTGTGTTTAAGTTCAAACTCGTGTTTTAATCAAACTTAAGTGCTTTTATGAAACATTATCAAAAGATACATTTTTGCTGTAAATCCTGTACTTAAAGGTGTTACATATTTAATTGTTTTATAAGCATTTGATGTTTGGATAAATGTTTAAATTGAGGATTTTTAATCATTCTGTATTTGTTTAAATGGAATAAATGAAACCTTTTTTTTTTAGGTGTAAATTTTTATTCTTTTATTCTACAACGGTTTGTCTTATATTGGTACAATCAGTTGTTAAGCTCCTTTGCGCCTCTCTCGAGACCACCTTTCTTCTGATTGACTGCTCCACATAAAAGGCAGGCAGCAGGTGCGTGAGGCTGTGTGCATGAGATGAC